GTCCTTGCGGCAGAGGCTGGGTAGCCCTCAAAGTCTGAAACGTTTGGCTTCTTCCAGGAAAAGCTAAGTCGTGGTATAGGACCTGGAGTGAGCCTGCATTGCCTGAAATCAGTTTTCTTTTTCAGCTGAATGACTCCGCAAGCTGGTCACACTGTGCCACAGTTTCCCCATCGTTCAGATGAGGTCATCACAGTAGCTAATGCCCAGCGAGGCTGGGAAGAGTAAACTAGTAAATGTTATTTGTCAAATACTGAGACAAGTTCCTGCAACCAGTAGATCGTTATTACTTATTTATGCTAGAGTTTTGCAGTCACAGTGAGATCACAATCCTCCCAACACGAAGATGATAAAAGTCACCAGAGTGTTCCTGGATGGATCAGAGGTGACCCCTGTGAGTACAGTTTCTACCACGCAGACGGAGCTCTGCAAAGGTTTCCATGGCATTTCCAAACATCTGAAAGACTGTTTTTTCTCACTCCCATCAGTTGACGGGAGAAAATACTGTATCTGCTGGGACAATCTATTCTCACCTCTCGCGTGCTTCTGGCCAGATGTAGAGCCGAGTATGGTGCTGCCCTGCGGGACGGTAATTCAAGTCCTTGCGCTGAGGGCTTCACTTCCAGCCCCCCCCACCCCCCACACCTCCCGGGCTGTACTTGTAGCTCAGTGGGTCATGTTCCAGCTACTCCCAGCTGAAGCGCAGAACCTCAGTGCCAGGGAAGTGAGGGGTTGCTGAATGCCGTGTCCTTTTCAATGAAATCGTTTTTCAAGGGATAATAAAATGATTCTGGGTTATATCAATGTGATAGGCATTTTCTTACATTACATATAATCTGCTTTGATTTTTACCTCTCAGGAGAAAGAATGAGGAAAAGATAAGAATCATTGTATTTCCTGAGAAGGAATATCAACTCATTACTTAAAAAATCATATTAGAAGTAAAGATCACATGGAATGTTGTGTTCCTTTCTGGTTTTTTTTGTTTTTTTGTTTTTTTGAGACAGGGTCTTGCTGTGCAGTTCATGCCAGCCTTGAGCTCACTTTGTAGCCCAGGCTGGCCTCGAACTTACAATGGTCCTCCTGCCTCAGCCTCCCGGTGCTGGGATTACAGGTGTGCACCACCACTCCTGGCCCTTTCTGTTTGTTATTCAAGAGCTATTTTAAATTGCTGGGTCAATTCCTTTATGAAAAAACATGACCTCTGCGCCTAGCTTCATTATCTCTTTGCTTCCTCCCCCTCTTCCTTCTTTTACTTTCTTCTGACTTTTTTTCTTCCCTGTTTTCTGAATAGATAAAGGAAAAAAAGAAAAAAAAACCGTGGCAAAGCTAGTACCAATCCAGGCATGGTTACTCACACCTATAATCCCAACAGTCTGGCAGGGTGAGGCAGGAAGATCACAGGTTTGGGCTCAGGCTGGGCAAACTTACTGACTTAGCAAGACCTTGTCTTAAAAAATAAAACATAGTTTTAAAATAAGGGCTGGGGATGTAGTTCGGTATTAAGGCCTTGGGTTCCATTCCCAGTACTGGGGAAAACAAAGCCAATACCAATTCATGATAAAAATTCACAGCAAGCCAGGCATGGTGGTACATGCCTGTAATTCCAGCTCTCAGGAGGCTGAGGCAGGAGGATCACCACAAAGTCGAGGCCAGCCTAGACTACATAGCAAGTTCAAGGCCAAGCTAAACAACATGATAAGACCCTGTTTCAAAACAACAACAAAAAACTACAGCAAACTTGAGATAGAATGGAACTTCTCTGCTAGATAAAGTGTATCCCATACTCTCAGCAAATACAATTCATAATAATAAAGTCTTAAGAATAACTTTAAAATCAACAATTAGACTAGTGTTGCATGGTCTTAGCTTATAATCAACAATGCAGGAAGATAAGAAAAAAAGTTAGTCTGGGAAACATAAAGCAAACTATGGTTATTCATGAAATTCTGCCTACAGAGAGCGCATTGCCTGCCTGCTTGCGTATTCGTATTCTCTTTCTCCTTCCCTTCCCCACTCTTGCTTTTTTCTTTCATTTTTTTAGATAGGACACAGGGTCTTGCTATGTAGTTCAGGCTGGTCTTAAGCTCATTATGTAGCCTGGGCTGGCCTCAAACTCACAGCGATCCTCCCGCCTCAGCCTCCTGAGTGCTGGGATTACAGGTGTGTGCCAGTGCACCCAGCTGTCTGCCTACCTGCCCGCCTGCCTGCCTTCCTTCCTTCCTCCTTTCTTTCCTTCCTTCCTTCCTTCCTTCCTTCTTTCCCTCCCCTCCTTAGTGATAGTCCCTTCTGCCTTGTCTTCAAATCCCATGGTAGAGGTGGTGTGTGCCCTTGAAATAGGACATCTCATCCCTGGGTTTAGCGTCTGCCCTGCCTCTCTTGGTCTGCAGCTCATTGAGTTGTTGAACGAGGCGGCCTCTGGGCGGGGCCTGTCCTCTGGTTGTCTGTGAAGCCTGAAAGCACCCGTGGTATTGCATTCGCTAGTTCTTCTTAGGGCTATTTGGCTGGAATCTGGAAACATTCTCCCTGAGGGCTCTCTTTAGACAGCAGTCAAAGGTAGCTGGAGATATGCTGAGTAAATGGAAAAGAAAAATCAAATTAGGCCAAGAGTTTTTTAAAAATCTCCTATTCTCGCAGAAGCCCTCAAGGAGAACACCATAATTCATACATACTTCACTTATGTGGGTCAGGCAGAAGCCTCCCCACTAGATCTATAACCTGTGAACATTAGGTTTCGAACTTGGACCTGCTTGCGTTGCTGGATCGTAGCACTGCATCCTAGGAGGGTTGTTTCTGGTTCAGTCCTTTATTACTTGGGAATGTCAGCTTGCCAGAGAGCAGCCTGATGTTTACTTGCAAATGGCCAGTGCCTTAGGCCAGCAGTTTTAATTATGCTCTCAGGTAGCAGCCCTGTGCCCAGCCTGCAGGGAGGCCAGCGTTGGCCTAGGACAGATGTCCTGTAGCCTTGTGGATAATGCCCACCCAGCTGGGCCGCATGAAATAATCAGTAAAGTCAGCAAAACCTTAGAAGAGTGACCCAGCGAGCGGAACAGAGCTGGATCGTGCTGCAGCCTGCCAAGCAGGCAGTGTTCCCTGCTCCTTTGTGAAGCGATTGAACCCAGCTGGTGTTTGCCCTGCACCTTCCCCATGCTGATGACGGAATTTTGGTCGAAGCAGATTTCACCATAAAATGAAACCCGGAGTCTCTGGGCTGTGAGATATCAGGAAGAGTTATCGGAGACCGAGTCTTGCTTCCCCCGGGAATTCCCTGTCTCCTCCCTTGCTGCAGTGCAGTGTATGCCCCCGAAGGTAGAGGGATCACAATCCTGGCATTTCCAGACCAAAGCAGGAGCCATTTAGAGAAATTCAGGGGATGCTTCGGAGGCTGTGTGTGCGCATGCGTGGATTCAGTATGCTGGTGGTGCAGCTCTGACGTCAAAAAAGATTTTTTTTTTTAATCCTCCTCTGGGCACAGATGCTCAGGAGCCAGGCCCGGGGTAGGGGGCGTCCTGGAGGGCAGGCGGACCTTTCCTTTCAACACTTACATCTTTCGCATTGGGAGATTCATCTGCTTCATTTTGGAACTGAGCCTTCCTAGTGCCTGAGATTTTCCTGCTCTGTGCTCATCTCAGCACGCTTAGAAGCCCGGGAGACCCCGGCAGCCCAGATTCCTTTTCCGTCTTAGAAAAGTTTCTGACTACTTTGAGAAATCACGAAGTTACTCTTCGCCACACCGTGTTGTTTGTTTTGAACTTTTTTGGTTTTAAGCTTTAAATTTTTCTATGTAAATGCCCCAAACCTTGGCGACATTCTGTTTCAAAGAAGGCTGCTGATTTCTGAGGCTGGCAGGGCATGAAATGACATGAGAGCTTCTCGGCAGAATTCCGGGTTTGCAAAAAAATTTCCAGGTACCTGCTATGTGCAGAATCCTCTGCAGGGATGCCCTGAAGAACTGAGAGTTCGGGCTAACGCCCGGGAACCTGGAGAGCAATGACCGAAAAGGAAAGATGAGCGCCTGGGGGCTCCGTCTAGAAATGCTTGAGGCTTGCCACAGCTGGCTGCCTGGGCTTTTTCCATCAAAACTCGGGGTCTTCATGTGCTGTCCGGCATCTGCTACCACAGGTCAGATGGAGCTTAGGAAGACCAGGGTAACTGTTCTTTTTGTCTTCATATCATGTTCTGTCTGGCATCTCTCTTCCCCGCAGTTCCTCATTTTGACTTATGTAATTCATGTCACTGGAATTCAGGGTCATTGGAATAGTGGGCTCCCTCTTATCAGCCGGTTTGGGAGAAACTCGCTTGGGAGAAACTTGCAGGTTTGAAATGTTTTCTGTGGGGGTGATTTTCCAAATTCATGACTATAAATAGTATAGAAAGCAATGCCTGTGGCACATTTGCTTTTCCAATCAGATTTTATTTACGAGTATTGACATAGGCATTTCAAGCATACTCTCAATACGGAGATGCTTTCATGAGATATCAGCACTAAAACTTTTTAAAAGCATAGATTTTTAGGTTAGTGAATTTAAAAAAATCTTTGCATTTTAGAAAAGCCACGGCATAAAAGTAGCTTTAGGCAAGGTGAGAGAAAGGTTTTTTTTTAAAAGATGAAGGCAGAAGTAACAAAAGACCACTGCCCGACAAGGTCATGTTGGATGGCAAATCGAAGGTCACTTTTCTCTGTAGAAGTAGGAAGAGTGATTTACTTCACCGAGTGGAAGCTTCCAAATTAAAAGCTGCAGATACTAGGGCTGAGGGATGAGAAGCAGGTCGCGGACGCTCCGCTGTCCTTTCAGAAGCTGTCTTTGTTGGCTTCCCGAGTCATTCGTCCTTCCCTGCCTCCTGCGCCCCGTCATCTCTAAGGAGCTGGAGTGCAACCGTGCACCGTTCACCTTCCGCAGATGATGTGCAGCTGGCTGCTGCGGTGCTGTTGGTGTGGTAGCATTAGGTGTCTTTAGAATTGACCTTGACATTTGTCTTTCTTTTTTTTTTAAACCCTGCAGGAACCGAGTAACAAACGGGTCAAACCCCTTTCCAGAGTCACGTCACTAGCAAACCTCATCCCTCCTGTGAAAGCTACGCCTTTAAAGCGCTTCAGCCAAACCTTGCAGGTAAGGAGGGTGCGGTGGGCCAGTGGTTACAGAAAACTACATTCTGTGGGAAGAGACACCTTTGCCTACCCAGAGTTCCCTCTGGTCTCATATTGACCTGAATCAATACTTATTTCAATAGAAGAGTGCGAGGAAGGCTGAAAAGAAGAAAAGTGGTTTCAAGTTTCCCCCTTCGGTCTGGCAGAGTTGGAGCAATTGTAGTTGGGCTTCTCCTCACAGTTGTATTTGTAAGTTGTGTGCCCCATCCAGATTTGTCCTGACAGGCTTTGTCCCAAAATATCTGTGGGCTCCTAAGGAAACCAGCGGTCCTGTGAGCTAGCCCATGGCGGTTTCAACCTGGAGCAGCAAGCTACAGTGTGTGGAAGAATCCGACCTGCCACCTGGTGTTTTTGGATGGGTGGGTGGGGGCTTTGTTTGTTTTGTGGTGCTGGGGATTGAACCCAGGGCCTCACGAAAGTGCTCTACCTCTACCACTGAGCCACACCCCCAGCCCCTGGCACCTGTGTTTTTTATGGCCCAAGAGCTAAGAATATTCCTTACTCTTTTCATTGTTTGGGGGGTGGGGTGAAAAGAAATTTTCCGATTTGTGAAAACCATATGAAATTCAGATTTCACTATCCATAAATAAAGTTTTACTGGAATACGGCCTTACCCGTCTATTTATATATGGTCTGTGGCTGCTTTGGCACCAGTGGCAGAGCTGAGTAGCTGTGAGACAGACTATTGTGCCCATAAAGCCAAAAATGTTTACTTATCCTGGCTCTTTAAAAGGGCTCTGGCTCCAACCAGGTAACTTAGCTCTGATCTTAGCTCTTTCACTGAAAGGCCTTTACCGTGGGCTGGTGATTTAACATCTCCAGGCCTTACTTTTACTCCTTTAGAGTAAATTTGTCACAGTGTCTCCAGCTCCTTTGTACAATCATCGTAAAGATACATGAGATTGTGCCTTTAAATGGTAGCACTTAGTTAACTATCAATAAGATATGAATTAGTAGGTTAGCAAACATTGGCTATTGTAGTACTTTTTTAGTTAACAAGTATTTTTAGTTGTTCTTTAATGAAGTTTTTTTCTTTTATGAAAAATTTCATAACAAAATAGGAGAACAAACAATAGTTAGTACACTGTATCATTATCTTCAAAGTGGGGGCTGGGGATTTAGCTGAGCGGCATAGCGCCTGCTTGGCAAGCGCAAGGTCTTGAGTTCGATTCCTGGTACTGGAAAAAAACCCAAAAAAAAGAAAAAAAAAGAAATTATCTTCAAAGTGTTTAACTCAGTATAAGACATAAATCAAAATGGTTCTTACAAAAAAGGAGACATACAGGTAATAACACAGAACTTTCTTTTCAGAGATCTAAGGTAAATTAGTAGTATAAATGAAACAAATTAGCATATATAAAAATATTTTTGAAACAACAATACATAATTTGGGGAAGTATTTTAACTTCTCCATACTTCCTATTTATCTCGCTTCTATTTTGCTCTTTATTTGTATATTTATAAATATTTTGTGTTTCTCATATAAGAAACCATGCAATATTTGAGCTTGTATGTCTGGCTTATGTCACTTAACATCAAAAAAAGGGCAACTGAAATGAATAGATTCTTCCCAGAAGACATACACATGGCCGATAAATACATTTAAAATGCTCAACATCATTGGCCATCAGAAAAATGCAAATTAAAAACTACACTGAGATAGCATCTTACCCTAGAAAGAATGGCTATCATCAAAAAATCTAACAAATTTATCTTTCAAAATAAAAATGGCCAAGCGTGATGGCACACACCTGTAATCCCAGCACTCGGGAGGCTGAGGCAGGAGGATTGCTGTGAGTTCAAAGCCAGCCTAGGCTACATAGTGAGTTCAAAGCCAGCCTGCACTATATAGCAATACCCTGTCTCAAAAAACAAAGTAAAAATCAAGATTAAGACTGAAGCCCAGGGCTGGGGAGATAGCTCAGTGGCACAAGCACCTGCCTGGCAAGCACAAGGTCCTGAGTTCGATTTCCAGTACCAACAACAAAAAAGACTGATGCCCATGAAAGGAGTATTCAATCTGGTAGAGTCTGTTCTTTCCACTTGCCATGGTTCTTTTTGCATGGTGATGCAAAAAGATCTTTGCTTTTGAAATCTTTATCTTTGCTTTTGAAATCTTTTATCTTTGCTTTTGAAATCTTTAAGAAAGTTGTGAACAAGAAGCCCGGACTTACCCCGTACAAGGAAAGCGTATAACTTGGTAAGGGTTTGCGGTTCTCACTTAGGGCTTTCTATCCCTGCTTTCTCACAGTTGGTCCACAGACCAGCTGCGCAGAACCATAACCACGTTCCTGCAGGCGCCCTCCCGCGACAGTTCTCAGGCCCGTCCCCGCGCTCCTCTGTTCACTCAGCGAGCAGTTGCTCCTGCATGCGTGGGTGTAACTCTGGTTCCCTCATCTGGGGAACACTGATGAAGGCCTGCACAGCTGGTGAGGAGGCGTGTTTCCCCGCCTGCCTTCTGACCAGCCCTTCCAGTCCTTCATGCTTGGAGGAAGTTCACTGCGGGCTTCTCCTGAAGATTCCTCCCCACCCGAGTCCTGCACATCTGGTCTTTCTCTGAGTTCTGCTTTCTATAACTTCTTTAGCTCCACTCCAGTCCACTGGATTTGACCCTTTCCTCTCCCTCCTAGTGGCTTCGTTCACGTTTACTCCGTAGCTGTGACTAGGGGACTCCCCCGCTGCTGGCAGCTTCTCTGACTATGTCCCCCCGCTCCTTATGCACCGTGCTGTTCTTTCTGCCCTTACGTTGCTCTGCTGGATTCATGGCGGTGCTGGGCCTAGGTTCCCCCGTGACTAACGAATCAGACCTGAGTCACCAGCCAGCTGTCACCTGTTCCTGTCCCTTCTCCGCTGTCCTCTAGCACTTGTCCTCCTTGCTCGCTGTCCTTGCCTGGCCTGCCCGGCAGGCTTTTGAGTGTGTGCTCCCGGAAATAGCATCTGGGTCTCCCACTCGGCCCAGCCTAAGGAGGTCCTCCATCCTTAGACCCATACCTCCCTACCTGAAAAAGATGCCTGACCTTGATTTGTAAATGACAAAGGGCTGTTGTTTCTGTAAAATCTTAGTAACTTTGTTCACTGGACAGGTACTAGGATTTATGCTTTTGGTTTTACTATGTGTGAATCCTGTGACTATATTCTCACCTAATTGCATCGGCTTGTCCAAGTCTATATAATTCCTTATATTTAAATACGGGGACCTTTCTAAACATTTGCAAATGAGGTTCTTCACTAGAAAGAATGGGAATACTATATTAATACCTACCTCACCGCACATGAGTTACTCTGCAAAGCGCTTAGCCAGGCCAGGCATGGTGACTCATGACTGTAATCCCAGCACTCTTTGGGAGGCTGAGACAGAAGGATCGTTGGGAGTTCCAGGCCAGCCTGAACTGCATAGTGAGACCCTGATTCAAGAAGACAAAGAAAATAAACAAAGAGATCCTCCATTCTCATGCTTTACAGTCTTTCTCTTGGCTTCCCAGAGAACCTTTTTTTCTTCTGTGCTTGGGGATCCTGCACAGGAAACATTGCAGTAGATATTTGATCGTCTTGGAAATTTCTCTCCTTTTTGGTACCAGGAATTGAACTCAGGACATTGTGCTTGCCAGGCAGGCGCTTGTGCCACTGAGCTATATTCCTGGCCTGGAAACTTCTTTTCAAAGACAGGGTTTTGCTCTTTAATTCAGGCTGGCCTT